GAAGGGGATGCCATGTCAGGAAGGATGAAGCGGAGTACAGTTTTCCATTCACACAGTTTTGACTTCTGCTCATGTGTATGTACTGCTGTGATAGATTATAAATGCTTAGTTTAAACCAAGTAAAAAGAAGTGAAGAGTATACGCAAGACTCACCTAGAAGCACTAGCTTCTGCAGAGTCTCAGAGTGATCCACATAGTCTCGAAGTGTGAATGAATCTGGGGGCAAAGGAGGATCTGCAATAATCCGAACAGCCTCCTGCTCAGAAACTGGCTGCAAAGGAGACAATGGAGGCACATCGTCCAGATCTGTGAAGCCAGCCACATGGAAAGAGAGAAGCAAGTCAGCTCTCCAATCTGTACACTTCAAACTGTTTCTACAACTTGCATTCTAGCTATTCTTATGTGTGTACTTAAATGCTTGGCTTCCCTTGTTGGCTTATTTATAAATCTTGGGATCATTTCAAGATTAAACATCTAAGAAGTACAAATATTTCTACCTTCTAATAGGAAAGGTTGAGACCATTTAGATAAGAAATTTCTTGGAAAATTTCTATTCCATAAAGATGAGTCGTTCCCCTTTCCTTCACTTTTAATCAACAGATAAGTAACTCTAGTACACCCTTGATTCTGAGGTTTTAGTCTTAAACAATTACGGAAGATACTGGAAATTATAACCTAAGAAATAAGGACTGATTTCTTTTTGCCTCTAATCATCACACTTTCTAATTTCATGTAGCCAGTCTCTTCTCCTGGCCTCCCAATCTCTCCCCCCGCAACCCCCCATTGTCTTGCATATTCTTCTTAACCTAATATCTTATTTGCAGTGAAATATTCTTATATACAAATATTCCTAGAATAGGAGTAGCAGGAAGGAGAAGACTGACTATTGGTTGAGTGTGGTAGTCATTACATAACTAAATGCATATGTTAAAATTCATAGAACTATATACCCCCAAAAGGATACATTTTTATTGATATAAATCATACCTTAATAAACCTACTTATCTGAAAATTTTTTTTTATAAATAAAGTATTTAGGAAGCAAATGTTGTATACAGAGCTATAAAGTACTTTTATACATATTACCGTACAAACATTTTATCTTAGTAAAAGAGAGGCAAAGTAGGAGTAACTAGAACTGGCAATGTTATTTTTCTTGCCTGGTATGAAATATGACTTGCAGTAGACTAAGACCATAAACAGGTAGCTTATTCAATCTACTAGTGGGGGCAGAAGGGACTTTTCTGAAAGTTCAGAATTACCTTCTAGAGACAGCTCCGAATCAAAGTTGGGTGTCTTCTGTGGCTGCTCACTCACGGAAGGAAGCGTAGTGCTTTGGGCAGAATCAATCTCCTGCCCACTTGATTTGGTACACTGGGAGGTACTGTTCCATTTGGAGGAAGTCCTGACAGTCTTCAATCCCCACTGGAGAAAGCCATTGTCAGAGGACACCTGCGGCCGAGCAGAAAGTCTATGCAACAATGTTGGTCCTGGTCTCCGATAATGACTTCTGAGTTGTGCGGCAGTAATTAAGCTGTTCAGTTTAATTGAGTTCAACCATCTGGGTATCCGTTGGGCCGACAGGGCCATTTTTCTTAAAGCAGCCTGCAAAAGATATATGAATAACCATTAAAAAAATAAAACCTACTTTACTTAAATGTTTAAAACAATATTCAGCCGGCACCGGTTTGGCTCAGTGGTAGAGCGTCGGTCTGCGGACTGAAAGGTCCCGGGTTCGATTCCGGTCAAGGGCATGTACCTTGGTTGCGGCACATCCCCGGTAGGGGGTGTGCAAGAGGCAGCTGGTCGATGATTCTCTCTCATCGACGTTTCTAGCTCTCTATCCCTCTCTCTTCCTCTCTGTGAAAAATCAATAAAAATATATTTAAAAATAAAATAAAATAAAATAAAACAATATTCAGACAATCAAAAGATAAACTGGAAACTATTTTTTTTTTTTCCAAATCAAAGAGTATTTAATAAATCTAGGTGACTAAAATAGTCAGATGTTTCTTAAACACAAGAAAAGTCAAAAACAAGGTAGTCTGATTTCCAAACCAAAAGACAGGAAATTCTAACCTGGAAAAATAAAGTTATGCTTTACAATTTGAAAACAATATGCCATGCCGGGTATAGCTCAGTGGTTGAGAGTCAACCCAGGAACCAAGAGATAACCAGCTCCATTTCTGGTCAGGACACAAGTACAGGTTGCAGGCTACATCCCCAGTGAGGGACTTGCCGGAGGTAGCCAATCAATGATTCTCTCTCATAATTAATGTTCCTCTCTCTCTCTCTCTCCCTTCTTCTCTGAAATCAATAAAAAATATTTTTTTTAAAAGTCAAAACTAGAGAGCAAAATTAAATGAGATACATAAGCAATAAGCAATGAATGCATGTATACTTATGATGAAAAAAGTCACTTTTAGGAAGATTTTTAAAGTGACTTAAAACTCTTATAAGAAAAGGTTAGTAAAAGGTTGGAAGGAATATGAAAGAATGTATATCTAGCCAGTTTAATTGAAGAGGTAAATCTGATGCACACATAATTTTTCTTTAAATAATTTGATACACAGAAAACATAGCCCAGAGTCCAGCATATGGAAAATGCCTCACAAATGTTCCTAGGTATTAGTATTGATCACACAACCAAATATAAATGACTTGAACACAATTTATTTTTGCTTTGGTTTTCCATATACTGGAATTCAGCTTGTTTTATGCTCCAAGTTAGACCAAATACTTCAGACTCTAAACTTGTACCGAAATTTTACAGTTGACCATTGAACAATTTGGGTGCCAGGGGCACTGACTACCTGGCAGCAGAAAATCTGGATATCACCTGAGTCCACAGGGCACATACGCAATCTCCTAAACATAAGTCTAAAGTGCTTAATTTGAAGTCTCCTGAAAGGATTTAATAATAATAATAAACAAAGCCATACTGTCATTCTGAAATGATTTTTAAAAAGAAATAAGCATTCACTATAGCCTGTGAAATAGATGATTTTTGTTAAATTTTGTTAGGAAATGAGCCTCCAAACCTGTCACCTTTTCCCTCAAACCTATGACATTCATTCTCTACACAGCCAAGTCCTGAGGCACTAAATCAGAAGCCAGAGAACCCTCCCGCAGGCTACCTTGGCAAGACTGCATTTCTAGCACATTGTCTGGCCCAGGTCGGGTTCAATAACCATTCTTTCAATAATGGGTTTTTAAAAGGTTACAGGTATAATAAGATGATCCCAAGTCCCTATTTGCTGTAAAATGTTTTGACTTCTAAGTTTACCTAAGAATGTCCTTATTTTTCAAAGCAAACTCCTGAAGTCTCCCTCATGCTGAAGCCTTTCCAGGCTCAACTTAATACCCCCTCCTACAATACTCCTGTTAATCCTTCTCTTTTTTACTTACTTCATGTCACTGCTGTGTGTATTTTTTAATAACTGATAAGCTGTTCTGTCAGGAAAGCAGGGTCTCCTCTTTGGATTCACTCTCCTAATGATCCCCCAGTAGCCTGCACTGCACCAGTGTTTGCTGGGTTGAAATAAATCAGTTGCAACTACGGTTAACTTACCTGCCTACACAGCGGGTAAGACGTTTGCATCTATAGTAATAAAAGTGTAAAATGCTAATTAGACCGACAGCCAAGTGACCTTCTGGATGTCATGAAGCCTCGGTGGCAGGTGGAGGCAGAGGGGGTTAGGGGCAATCAGGCAGAGGGGTTAGGGGCGACCAGGCAGGCAGGCAAGTGGTTAGGGTCATGAAGCAGGCTAGCAACAATCCCGGATTGTACCAGCCATGTCTGACAGCCGGTTTAGGCCCAATTCAAATCGGCAGTTGGACATCCCCCAGGGGTCTGTCCGAGATTGCAAGAGGGTGCAGGCCTGGGCTTGAGGGATACCGTCCTCCGCCCCACCCCCACCCCCAGAATTCCTGCACCGGGTCTCTAGTATGTGCATAAAAGCCTTCCTTCGTGACCACAGTCTTGGACTCTCTCATCAAGAATAGTAAAGGAAAAAAAAAAGCCTTAAAGCATTCTTTAGCCCACTAAAACATCACATACTTCTCAAATGCTGGCCTTAGCACTTCCCTCGGAATAGTCAATGGCACGGACATGCTGCTCACGGTTTCCCCCTCTGCAAGGCTGACAAGCGACAGGTGAAACGGGGCTGGGAAACGGGCTTCCTGAGCAAACTGCCCCCCGCCCTCTCCGGGCCACTGTGGTCTCCATCTGGTCATCCACACCGGGCTTCCGCAGACAGACAGACAGACAGACACTAACCTCCCCGCCCTGCGCAAAGCGGGCTCATACGATGGTTTCCGGTCTCACCGGCCGCGGGTAAAAACAAAACCATCCTCCACGGGGCCGCCCAAGACCCCACAAGGCCCCGCGAGGTCAGGCCCAGGCCGAGGCCGGACCCAAACCCCGGCGGCCGGGGCAGCGCCCTCGCGCCCCACCAGCCCCGCTTTACCTGCGGCGAGGCCCGGCCAGAACTGTGGTTCGGTTCGGTTCGGTTCGCAGAGGCGGTCGTGGCGGCCCCGGCTCCCACCCGGCCAAGCGCCGCGGGTCCCACCAGCCGCGCCCACGTGGGCTGCGCGGGGAGTGGGCGAGACCATCCGGGAGGCAGCGCGGGGGGGAGCGGGCTGCTCGCGGGGGCCAAGGGCGGGCCGGAGCGCCCAGCGTTTCTTCTTCCGCTCGCCACTCCCCTCGCCCTCGTCCCCGGGGAAAGGTGAGGACATAGGACGCGCACGGAGATGCCGGTCCCGCGGCGCTAGCTGGGGGGGGCTCTGCAGGCGGCGCCCCCCCTTTCCCGCGGCAGAGTGGGCGGTGCCGACCCCGCCCCCCGGCGCCCGTCCTTCCTCCGGCGCTCGGCGGGCCCGCGGCGCCAGACCCGGCTCCGCGCCGCCCGGCCTCCCTCGCGCTGCGGCTCGTCACCTCCGGGGCCCCCGCCTGCCAGGGCCGGGGCCGCCGCCGCCGCCGCGGCAGGACGGGGAGGCGGGCCATGGCGTCCTGCGTGGGGAGCAGGACCCTGAGCAAGGACGATGTGAACTACAAGATGCATTTCCGGATGATCAACGAGCAGCAAGTGGAGGACATCACCATCGACTTCTTCTACCGGCCGCACACCATCACGCTGCTCAGCTTCACCATCGTCAGCCTCATGTACTTCGCCTTCACCAGGTGCGGCGGCCCGGCCGCGCGGCGGGGGCGGGGGCGGGGGCGGGGGCCGGGTGGGGGGCGCGCCCCGGGGCGGAGGGAAGGGGCGGCGGCGGCGGCGGCGGGGAGCGGCCGGTGCGGCGCCCGGAGGGAGGGCGGGAGGGAGGGAAGGGAAGCGGCCCGGTGGCTCCGCCGCCCACGCCGCTCCTCCGGCGGGCAGCACACACCCCTCCCTGGGCAGCCCGGGCACCGCAACCCCGTACCCACCCCGGCCCGGCCTCTCCCCCCTCCCCGGCCGGCGCCGCGGGCCGCCCCGAACCCTCGGAGGTTAGCACGATGCCCGTCTCCTGCCGCCGCCGCCGCCCTCGGCGCCGCTCCCCGCTCCCATCACGACGCCGCCCCCCTCCTCTCCGATCCCGGTCTCCACCGCGTGAATCCTCGCGATGCACCACCCTGAGGACCTAGCCCTGCGCCCCCAAAGCACCGGGGCCAGGCCCCCGGCGGACCCCTTCCCGCGGAGCTGCTCCGGGCTGGGCACTCCCCCGCCATCAAAAATAAAAATAAAAATGCACAGGCGAGGTGCACGCCACCTCCCGCAGGCACTGTGCACGCATCATCTAGCACAGCCTTCTCCAGCCTCACACCGACACACATCCCTGTGGCCCTTCCTCCTGGCCAGCACCCAGCACCCAGCATCCAGCCTCACACCGACACACATCCCTGTGGCCCTTCCTCCTGGCCAGCACCCAGCACCCAGCACCGCTGGTGCCCGTGGCTACCCACACAGACACCATGCACCGTTCATCACCTGTCTTTCTAATGGAGCAAGTACGTTGTAGATGTTGTAAGGACCCCGGTGCTCAGTCAGTGAATGCTATAGAGCAGTGGTCAGCAAACTGCGGCTCCCGCGAGCCACCATACGGCTCTTTGGCCCCTTGAGTTTTTAGCAAAGGCCAGCGTAGGAGGACCCTAATTAAGTTAATAACAATGTACCTGCCTATGTAGTTTAAGTTTAAAAAAAAATGTGGCTCTCGAAAGAAATTTCAGCCGTTGTGCTGTTGATATTTGGCTCTGTTGACTGATGAGTTTGCCGACCACTGCTGTAGAGTGTTAGAACACAAAAACCTCACACAGTATAGCACAACTCTTATCTCCCTGAAAACACACACACACACACACACACACACACACACACACACACACACTCAGTACTTCCAATAGACACACCTATGCACAGTTGCTACTCAGCCCAATTCTTGACACGTTGTCAGGAGCATGTGGCCCCTCAGCCCCAGCCCAGGGAACTGATTCGTCCCTAGTTCATAAGGACACACAACCCGTGGGTCCAACTGACAAACATTTATATCTTCGGAACGAACATCTTTAAAGCAAGGGGAGGCATACCTACCACACACCACTATGGCTTACAAGATCAACCCAAAGAAATGTGGTTTTGGAGCGAGATGGTTTCAGCACTGGGGGTTCTTTCTTATTTTTTAAATATATTTTTATTGATTTTAGAGAGGAAGGGAGAGGGAGAGAGAGAAACATCAGTGATGAGAGAGCATCTTGGACCAGCTGCCTCCTGCATGCCCTACATTGGGGTTGTGCCCTGACTGGGAATGGAACCATGACCTCCTGGTTCTTAGGTCGTTACTCAACCACTGAGCCACACTGGCCGGACAAAAACTGTTCTTCAGTTACTTAACCTTTCTCTAAGCCCCAGGATTCACACCTGTAAAATGGGGGTAAAATTCACACCTCATACGTGGTTATCAAGGTTGAATGAATATGAGTGAATGTGCTTAAGCAGACTATCTGGTGTACGATGCAGTTAATGTCAGTTACTTCTGTTCCAGCATTTTAATCCAACAATCAGTGGATCTCAGTCCAGGTCAGCAGAAAATGTGCAGTGATCACAAGCTTTGGGAGAACGTATTTTGTGGGCGGGGGGGTAAAAATGCTAACCGTGCCCTGGCTGGTGTGGCTCAGCTGATTGGAGCATTCTCCTGTGCACTGAAAGGTGGCAGGTTTGATTTCTGATCAGGGCACACACCCAGGTTTCAGGTTCCCTATCCGGTTGGGGCATGTACAGGAGGCAACTGATAAAAGCATGGAAAATGTTTCTCATAGCCACATTTCTCCCTGTCTTTCTCATTCTCTCTCCTCTCTCTCCTCCCTTTCTCTAAGTTCAATTTAAAAAAAAAAAGAAAGAAAAAAGAATGCTAAATGTACTATACCATGGAGCAGCATTGAACAACAAAGAATTAATTGCCCTCTATATACACCCGTGTGTGTGTGTGTGTGTGTGTGTGTGTGTGTATACTCAACACAGGTGCCAATGGTACCTTTCTTGGGAATCATTGCAGATTTTCATAAAACTAATAATAATATTTATTTCTTCCCACATTATACTTGTTCCTTACCTCCATAATTCTTTTGACTCTTGGTTTCTATTTTGTTAAGTGTTTGCATGAATCTGCCTAAAGTTGTAAAATATGTGACAGTCACTCTTAATGATTGGAAATGCAGCTACTATTATTGTAATATCTCCTGCTAATGCTGTGCTGTGGGTAAGACCTTCGCACAGTGTCCAATCTCTCTCTCCCTCTTCCTTCCTCTCTAAAATCAATAAGTGTCCAGGAGCACATTTCTAGCTTTGGAGAGAAATCAGTCTTGTCCTAATTTTGGTTACCCTCAAATATTTTGTCTTGTTAACTGGTTTTTACAATTTAATAGCTTTGTGGCCACTTAATTTTGCTAAGCTTCAGTTTCCTTATCTGTGTAAGAAAAAAAAATACCTAGTAATACTTCAGGATTATCTGTCATGAGGGTTCAATTATTTTTTATTTTTAGGTAATTAGCACAGTGCAAATAGTAAGTGCCCAATATTAGCTATTGTTATCATTAAATCATTTTACTGTATACTAATATCTTCTAATTTTTTTTGTGTGTGATTGAGGATGTAGTATGCTCTCCAGTTAAGAAAAAGGATAAAGGCTTTGGAAAAATGGATATTGCTTTGCTTAGATAATACATCTGCCTGTTTCATATTAACTTCAGTTTAACTTCATCTCATATATGGGTTGGCAATTATATATATTTTTAATAATGAGACATAAGAATGAGTAGTTTGCTTCAAATTACTCTGGACCCCTTCAGAATAAATCTCCTTCCTCTTTTCTGATACAGGAAGTCAGATTCTTCTGGAATTTCCCTTTTACAGCATATTCTGCCAGAACAGTTGACAAACTGCAACAGTGAACATATATAAGAAATCAATATGAATTTTAACATCTTGTCAAAAGTAAAGGCATAATTTGAATCTCAAACTATGGCCTTTTCTAAAAATTATAATTTTATCTCCCACTAAACTTCATAAAGACAGAAATCACACACGAAGAATAATAATAAATTTCTCCTTATGTAAAATCATAAGCACCATTGATACAATTAGTAATTACTGTATCTTATTCATGTCTTGTAAGATTCCTAGGCCTTCAAGGTGGGACATTACAGTGATAGCTCTGTCTTCCTCCATAAAAACGGAAAGCACTCATTTGGAGGTGTCTTTGAGCTCGCTGAGTGAACACCACGAGCAAATCTCACCCTCCCCAGTTAATACATTTATGGACAAGAAGTTATCCTTGAAATTAAATGGCAGCAGAAACATCAAGGAAGATTGCGGAGATCCGATCCCTTTATGGAACTTGTGATAGGTCCGCGTGTAGAGATGGCAGCTAGTGGGCAACGGAGGATTGGAATGATGGTAATACGAGGAAGTAGCATCAGCAGGTTAGAAAGCTGGGAACAAGGATGAAGAATGGCTGTGTTCACCAGAGAAATCAGCTTCTTCCCTTCTCCTCCAACGCACCTGTTTTACTGCAGTATAAACATTGAGTCGTGTACATCTTCACATTACACTTGTTAAAAAAACTTTTATATTGGTAAATTTTTATTCTTATTTTTTTTGACTCAGCAAATAGAGCATCAGCCTGTGGAATAAATGGTCCCAGGTTCAATTCCGGTCAAGGGCACATGCCAGGTTGCTGGCTTCATCCCCAGAGAGGGGTGTGCGGGAAGCAGCCTATCAATGATTCTCTCTCCTCATTGATGTTTCTGTCTCTCTCTCTCCCTCTCCCTTCCTCTCTGAAATCCATTAAAATATATTTTTAAAGAAGGTGGAAGGTTGTAACTTCTTAAATGAAAGTTATTTATTTCTGTTCTTTTCTGTGATGATTATTATCTCTGATACCAAATTCTATTTATAATAGATTTTAGTTGGATGACTGTTCAGTGCAATTCTGTATACATTTAAAAATATGTCTTCCAGTTTGTTTTTCAAAGACTCGTAGTGTAAGAGAAGAGGAGGCAGAATACGTTGGGGCTGTCACGTTGTCAGAGAATGCTTTTGGTGTGTCATATTACCAGCATGTGAGCCACAGCACCTGGATCATGTCATATGCTCCAGAGGCACAGCAAGAATTTGGGATTGGGACGGATTAGACACCTCATGCAGAAGTCTGAGACAAGTTTGGATTTGTCAAGTACTTTTGTTAAATAGCAACTAGGCCAACTCACTGTTAAATCCTAGCATTTACATGTCCTGTCCCTATCGCTGTCATTAAAATTAAAATTGAGTCATTTTCCCCAAGTTTTACAAAAGTTCATTCTGCTACCTTTTAGAGTAAATATTTCTCTAACTTAAATGCTTGGGCATGTGTCTTAAAAGTCTGTTCTGCCCAAGTGGGGCCAGGAGAACCTTTGTCTCAAGCTCAGAGCATAGCGATTACTCTGCTTACAGAGGTTGGTAACTTTGAAAATGTTGACTAGCCTTAGTTTCAAAAACTCCAACGTTCGATTTGAAAACACAGAATCTGCTAACTCCCCTTCACAGCAGCCCACCTCTCCTCAGAGGCACCTGGCTATAGAACCAGCCCCTGTCCATTCACTGGCAGAGGTTGCCTCCCTGCACCTTGCAGTGCCCACGGGGTTTCAACTTGTCCAGGCTATGTTTCTCCTTGACGTGGGACTAAAGAGATGGACACGGTTAAAGCTGGCTGAGATAATAATTTAGTTTTATGTCTCATTGGCCCTTTTGTTTGTGATTCTCTCAAGAATAAGGACAGTGTCTGTTCGTTTTTGTCTTCTTAGCCCCCAGTCCTATACCTACTCCCCAGCTAGGCGGTTGCTACATGCATGAGGGAGTAAGCAGACATCAATGAAGAGCATTCGGACATTGTGAACTGATGGCAGGCACTTCTGTGCTGGGATCTATGATCTGTTAGCGTGTGTTACGTTATTTTATCCTTACAACATAAGTGAGTGGGACCGTTATTTTCCTTGATACACAGGGGAGGACACCAGGGCACAGAGAGGTTGGGTAATCTGCCCAAGATCACACAGGCTGATGAGTGTTGAAGCAGAATTCTGGCCCAGGCATTCTGGCCACAAGCTTCCTACAGGGGAGAAAATTTTGAACTTTGGAGCCAGATCCCATCCATAAAATGCAGATTGTTCTTATTCCCCCTTCTAGGCTGATAGGAAGATTAAGAGAGCTATCATGCACAGGCAGCATTCTGAGTGCAGCGGAGACAATGGCTGATGTTCGGAGCTAACTAGTTCTTATCCCTTCATTGAGTTTTCCAAAGTCACCGATGTGGTCTTATGGTCTTTGCAGCTAAGTTGCTTTTCATGCTTAACTATAGAAAATTTTGGTTAATACCTCATTTTGCAAATGAGTCTGACAGTTGGAGATAACTGCCATTCAGTGCCTGGCACACAGTAGATGCTTGATAAAGACGAGCTATTATTGTCTTCATCATCACCAGTATCAGCAGTGGGATGCTGGTCTGAAGGAGGGCGCTGGTCTCCTCGCACCCTGTGTGTGGCCATTCTTCAGTAAAAGCTGACGTACCTGGGAATTGGATTTGGCTTCCCTCCTAAGCCAGAGGGCCTCTCACGTAACCTCGTCCTCTTCCGGCTGGCATTCTCAGCAGGCTGGCATTCTTAGGCCTGCGTCCATAACTTACGGACAGAGTTAAGTCCTTAGAGGGCCCATTTGCATAGGACTGCATTTCTCTGCGGGAGGAAGTCTGTTTGACTCAGTAGTTTGGTTTTGTAATCAGATCTACATGAACCTAACATAACAGTCAAGCCTTGTTTGTCCAGCCTCGGTGTGAGTGCTGTTTGGCCATATGAAGATAAGAGACAGTGTTACCTGTGTGGTCTCTTTATTTTAGTTCCTTACGTTCAATCCTGTGTAAGTCAGGAAATTATTAAATAGAGTTAATAATTGTTAAATTATTAAATAGAAACTTACTATAAGCAGAAGCTGATATTTGCAGTAACTTCTGTTTATAAAACAACATCCCAGTACCTGTCTTTAATTAGGTAATTATTAGGTAATATTGTTTCATTCCATACCTCTTCGTGTAGTCTAAATTTGATGGTCTAAATTTTTTACTGCTAACTTGGTTTTCTTCTAAGATATTTTTGACATTTTTTTTCTTTTAGTGATATTTAATCTTAATTTAATGTTTGTCTTTTGAAAGTTTTCACTGCAGTCCTTCCCCATATAAACTCAACTTTTTGTAAACTCAACTTTTTATTATCATTTTTTAATTTATTGCTGTATCATTATCTCTAAAATATCTCTTTCCACTCCTTTTCTTTCATTTTCTGTCTACTCTTCCTATATATTTTTAAACTGAATTGCTGAACTTCCCTTTCCCAAGCTTCTCAATAATTCAGAAAACCTTACTATCTTATATTTCTCTTTTCCCTTTTCTCTTTTGATTGTTTCTCTTGAGCCCCAAGTACTCCTCTTCTCTCTCTCTCTCTCATATGATTATATATATGGAAGAATCATTGACTGGCTGTCTCCTGCACATCTCTTACTGGGGCTTGAGCCTGCAACCCGGGCATGTGCCCTGACCAGCACCAAACCGTGCCCTCCTGCTTCATAGGTGATGCCCAGTCACTGAGCCATGCCAGCCAACTGGGCCCTTCTTTTTTTTTTTTTTTTTTTTTTTTTTTTTCAAATGTAAACTTTCAAAACCTAATTCTTCTCCATCAGTATTAAGACAATTTTCATTTGAGAATTTTTACTTTGTTCTACACAATAAATTTTCTCTCTATCAATAATTAATCCATTAATATCTGCTTGAAGACCTACTATGTGCCATGCTCCGAGGATACAACAAATGAATAATTCCCAACCTTTATACAGGGAAGGCAGACAACATATAAACCAACAAATGGAGTCATTTCAGCTACTGGAGTTATAGAGGTGATGAATACAGTAATAAACTGGAAATGACCAGGCATGGCACGGAAGAAGTTCATCTCTTTCCGTTATAATTTTTTGTCTTCTGGTGTGATTTTATAGTCTGGTGTTTTGTTTTCTCTTTTAACATTTTTTCAGTGGTACCTTTTTTTTATTCCACATTCCCCCCTTTTTCATTCATCCCCTAGTTGGTGGTGTGCAAACTCATTAGTCAACAGAGCCAAATATCAACAGTACAACGATTGAAATTTCTTTTGAGAGCCAAATTTTTTAAACTTAAACTTCTTCTAACGCCGCTTCTTCAAAATAGACTCGCCCAGGCCATGGTATTTTGTGGAAGAGCCACCCTCAAGGGGCCAAAGAGCCGCATGTGGCTCGTGAGCTGCAGTTTGCCGACCACAGCCTTCGATAGTTAATTGCTCACTTATTAGGATTGAGTATATAATTCATTGCCTTACGCCTTCCTCCTTATAATCTTTTGCTTTCTTTCCAATTCCTGGAAAGTTTCTTTCCCACAGTCTGTATCATGAAGGTCATTTTTAGTTATTCTTGAAACCAAAAGGCATATCTCCAGAATAAACCTCACCTTTTGACATCCTGGGTTTTTTTTTTTTTTTGTTTTGTTTTTAAGAAGAGTGATTTTTAACTGTTTGTCTGAGCATAATGTGTGTTGGTGTGTAAGGTTGCCAGGTGCCTTTCTTATAAGAACTGGACTTTATTATGAGATTGAATTATGTTAGGAAATGATAATGAGTAGTATATAGTATGCATAATGACTTTGTTCAGTAAAAGAAATTTTAGCAATTCTCTGGTTTTTAGAACATGGAACTCTGACTCCTTCTAGGCTTGGATCTGAAAATGAATACTCAGTGTTCTTTTTCTGCTTTCAGGGATGACTCTGTCCCAGAAGACAACATCTGGCGGGGTATCCTCTCTGTTATTTTCTTCTTTCTTATCATCAGTGTGTTAGCTTTCCCCAACGGTAAGTGATGCGCTACTTATCACGTTTCTCCCGTGCATTGTGCCCTTTGGGTATTTTTTAGTTGTAAGCCATCTAGAAGATGGAGCTAAAAGGTGGAATAAAAACAATAGTCTGGGTTTCGTGTGATGGTTGAGGCACAGGCTCTGGAGGCAGACTGCCCATTCTGCACTTCCATAGCTCTGTAGCCACGTGAAGGACTCAGGAAACAGATTACTCACTAAATGAACCTATCAGTTTATTACTCTACTAAATGGAGGTCACAGGTAGGTACTTTTGTAAGAGTTAAGTTCTCTGAAGAGAGAATGACAAATTGCAAGCTCTCGGTGAGTGTCAGCTGCTGTTCTTGTTGCTGTTTTTGTTCTCATCAGCCCAGTCCTACATGCTCAATCATTTGGTTGCTCCTTTTTTTGCTAAGGACAGGTTCAGTGCTATAATGAGTATTACTTAATAATTTGTTGTCATGGTGAACTTTGCTGATTATATGTGGATATGAATTTGCATCAGCAGGTAAAAAAAGACATTATTACCATGAATTTTACTCCCCATCGTGATTATAGAGTGAGGCAGAAACTTTGTTTAAAAAAAGTAGTTTGGTATTCTGCCATCCTTGAGATTCATTCTTTCCTCTGAACTGTCCCTTACAAATCACTTTCATTTTTCTTGTTCCCCTTCAGCACTTTCTTCCTAGGATATTTTTTTCTGTAACCATTTTTAAATGCTCACTTCCTATTTCCTACTTTTACAGTTATGGTATTTTGAAATTCAGCCTTTCTTATGAGTTATGCTCCATAAGCCCCATTCATAATTTAAGTATCTATTCTTCTCTATCCCATTTATCCAGTAGAAGGTAATGTGTGATAGGAGAAGCCTGTGATGAACGGTACTGATTGCTGCGTGGAAATGCACCATGGTCATAGGAGTCTAGTACCCATCCCAGTGTGTGTGTGCTGGGTGGTGGTGCTCTGACACAGCCGGATGTCCTACAGTTCACCTCCATTCTGATGCTGTCTACCCAGCGGGAGTGTCGGGTCCCACAGGTTAAGGGCCTCAGACCCCACTTCGGAGGCCAGTTGCAAGTCTAGGTTGGTACCTGTGCTTCTTCCTAGAATGGCTGTAAATCAGAGGTCCCCATAACCTCCTCTTTGGGGTCTGCTGATTGCTTGAGAGGCTCACAGGACTCAGGAAGCCAGTTTGCTCACTGAATGAACCCATCATTTTATCCCAAAGGCTGTTCATGAGCAGCCCGATGCAGATGCGTGAAGCATGTGGTCAGAGTACGTGGGGAGGGCCAGGAGCTCCCATGCCTTTCCCAGGAGCACCGCTTTCCTGGCCTCTATACCAGGTCTCAGCCCAGAAGCTCTCCAGCCCCATCCTCGCGGGGTTTTCTGGAGGTCTGTCACATGGGCGCGATGGATCAAATCACTGACATCGGTGATTGGAGTCCATCTCCAGCTCCTCTTCCCGGACTAGGTCTGAGAGTGGGACTGAAAGTGCCAAGCCTCCAGTCAACTAGTTGGCTCCACTGGCAACCCCCCCCCACCCTCTGGTGCTTCCCAAAACTCACCTCATTATCTGAACTAGAGACACTTTACTGTCCTCATCACTTTGGAAATTCCAAGGGTTTTAGGAGTTCTCTGTCTCACAAACAGAAACACAAATCCTGTTCCAAATACATATTTATTATAAATCACAGTATCACTCATGGCAAAGCCCTCAGGCTTCTCCGGAGGGTGGCAGTGGAATTTCGTTCTGTATTTTTGCTTATTTTGTGCAGCACTCTAGGTTTTTTGCTGGCAGCATGATAATCCAGCCATTGAGCCATGACTGAATCCTATAGGGCATGCACTGTTGTAGATAAGCCAAGTCATTGTGGAGTTGAACTCTGCAATCACTCAAGCTTTTAGATTAAATATATCTTTCGTGAGAGGCTGCTGTCCTACTCAGTGCAGACTGCGCTAACAGAATGCTACAGACTAGGGGGCTGCACACAGGACTTCTGAAGCCAGTTCTCTCCAGCTGTGAACCTGAGACTGGACACGTTCTGTGCTTTGTCTTCTAGAAGGAAAGATTTCAATCTAGAGACAAAGTATGGAAAAGCAAGAAAGAATTTATTGACAGCAGCAATAAATACTTAAGGCAGTGAAACAAGAAAGGCTTAGAGGAAACCACAGGAGAGCCTGGGTGGGGCTGCTTTGGCTCACTGGGAAGTCAGAGCAAAGGGGGCCTTGGAACCGAGCTAGGGGGTCTGCTGCCCATTGCTCCCCTGGTTGCAAGCCTCATGGGGTCCCTTGGAGGTTAGGGGTTATGTGCCTGTGGGGGAGGAAAAGGGGAAGGAAATGGCGTGGACATGTTCCTTGAAGGGAGTGCACTGGGACCTTGTTTTCAGGGATTTTAAAGGATGGGCCTTTAGGAGAGGTCTTAGGGGCAGGTCAATAGAAAATTCATCTGCTTTATGCCGATGGGTCAAAATAAGGTTTATTCTCTTATTTTGTCTGTCCTTGGGTGTGGTTGGCAAATGGCACTCCTTGGATTTCTGTATCTGTCTCCCTGAGTAGGAGATTTAAGCTATTTACCCTCTGGCTGGGGAGGAGAAGTGCAAACCATTTACTCTTATGTATCCTTGCTTTAGGGCAGATGGGCAAATTGCTGTTGAACTATCTGTCTCAGTTGCCCTATTCCTTTGTCCTGGAATTTCCCTAGCTTCTATAACACTGTAGTGTGACAGGCTGAGGATAGACATTCCTAATTTAAAGGAGAATGAGAAAGAAGGGAGGGGTGGTGGGTGCAAAGCTAGTCCAGCACCTAGGAAGGCCAATTCTTTGAGATCTTAGGTCAAGAAACCTTAAGGTTTAAGAATAGTTCTCTTTGCCTCAGTGCTTGCCTTTGGAAACCAAGGTGAAGGCTGCCCCCTTCTCCCTTCCTCTCGACCTTGGCTCTCTGAGCCTGTGATGGAAGTGACAGCCCAGCCTGGACAACCTCTGAATTGCCTTTGGGGTCCTTCTTGTCTTAAAGAATAGCCAGCATTCCCATCAGGTAACTCTGGTTCAGTCTCTGGGAAGTCCAACCGTCTTCAGAGTTAGATTTCCACACCAGAATTTGGAGGGACACACATATTAACACCTGCATGTCTTGTGCCTTTCTACTGCAACCAGGGGTTCTGATATGCATACTTATTGGGACATGATGACAAGACATCCACGATATGGAATGAATTGACCTTGCTGTAGGATTCACTTTCTAGGAAAAGACCCTGATGTCAATCAGCTTCTTGGCTATTTGCCAGCTTCTTTTCCTTCTCACCTCCAACACACAAAGTCTCAGGATTTTAGGGATAGATCGTTTGGACATTGTGTAGCCTGGCCTCTTTCAGGGGTGCCATGTTGTAGTGCCAGCTAAGTGGGCACCTGCGATATAAATCATTTCACACCCACTGGACCCACCCGGCTGTGGGTGGTTCCCCTGAGCTCGGGATCCTGGCCTTTTCATACAAAGGTAGCTTAAGAATACTGCCCAATGCAAGAAGATTGTAAGGCTCATCTCAGGTGGGATACCAGCACAGGCCAGCTGCCACCAAAGCCCCCAGGGAAGGTGAGTGGGTGACAATTCAGGTGGTGGTGACTGCCACCCCCCGCTGCCGCTCTCACCTTCTGTGGCCTGTGAAGGCCTGCTGCTTACTGTCATCAGTTGGTGCCAGGACCTCCTTGGCCTGTGACCTCTGTTTCTTATCTCACCTGTCCCAGTCCTACTCCTTTTTAAGTCAATCAGCAGAGTACATGCTCAGGAAACTGATCAGTCCCAAAGTGTCAGGTCTGTTCTTCAAGACTTCCTCTTTCTTTGGCTGTGTTGCTTAATTCATAAGGGTTACTTCTTCGCACTTTGAAGGTTTCTTTTCTATCTTTTTTTTTTTTTTTCTGAATTGCTATTTCTTAAGGCTTTTTGATCTGAGATCTCAGAGCCATTTCGGAAGTCTGCCGACTCTACAGTCACCCATCCACAAAGCTTTTGTGGGAGCTGGGTTTGTGTTTTTCTTAAGGGACCAAAGGCCCTGAAGGTTGGGGCTAAAGTCTATTGGAGGTAACATTTGTGATTCCTGCTGGTTCTTCCTCTTACTTGCTAATGAAGTCTTCTGATATTCAGTGCCCACTCAGCCTAACCAGTGTCCCATGTGGAGCTGTGCTTTCATGTTCTTTCTGGAAAGATAAAAGTTAAGTTTGTTTTATGCTTTTCTTATCCTGGATGTGTGGACTTGGTGGTACCTACACATACAAAGAGGGGCCTCCCGTAGGGCTCACCTCGTTCAGCCTGCTCAGTTCTCAGCATTCACCAAAGAGGTCAAGAGGTCATGGCTACTTGGTATCAGCCTGGTGATCCGGCCCAGCTCGGCATTGCCGTGGTCGTTTCTCCCATCAGGTTGTCTGTGAGGTGTTTTCTCTCTGTCTTCTCCTATGTTCCTGTCTCTCTCTGCTTCTCTTCCTCTCCATCAGTGTCTGGCTTTCTTTTCCCAGGAGTGTGGTCTTAGGCAGTGTGCCTGGGTCCTGCAGAGGGCGGATGTGGCCATTCTCCTGTGTTGCCAGCATCTGCGAAGATCAGCAGCGGCCAGCAGATCGATCCAAACCTGCATACTTTCTCCCTTTCCTACTCTCTTCCTGCCTTTCCTCCCCCCACCACCTCCAGGCGCATGCTCACGCACATCACTCACCTGGAGGTAGAACATCCCCAAACAAGGCCTCAGATAGGCCTGGAAAAGGACAATGGCAGTTCGGTAATCTTCATATGCAGGATGGGGTGTTGGGGTCATGGGAGAGGAATGGATACTCAACTAAGGGATGTAATGGACTCTGTTTAGTTAGGGGGGGTGGCTTTTGGAGGTGCCTTGGAGTTGATGGGGGAACCTGAGCTGTGTGGCTCCCTCCCAGAGCCAGCCGCCCAGGAGCCACGTGCCAGAAGGCTTCTGAGTGGAATATGTATGCCTCTTCTTGCTCCAGTCTTGCCATCTTATT